TGATTAAATAGACTGCAAATACATTTGAATGACAATAGATTAATATCATCAAAAATAAACTTAAAATGCAAAATCCATACGCGAAATTAAAAAAAAAATACTACGAAATAAATTTTAATGTACTACCCAGCACCCTAAAATCTGCTGTTATAAACAAATAAACCAACTATCGAACGGGATCAAACTCATGAACTCGACCACAGCGGACAGTTATTTCAATTATTGCATAAACTAACTACGAAGCTCATATAAAACAACTCTAGTCCGATATGCGTGAACCATCCTCTTCTAACTCTGTCAATCCTCTTCCAAACAAACATCATCCGCCAAAAATAACGATGTATATATGACGGAATAATTTTGTTAACAAAACGTTCTACTTAATAGAATCAAGTACCAACACAACTCTTAAAAATGTCTAACCACCGTACACGACAATCCTGGACATTGAGCGAAAAATAAAAACGAAAAAAAACGCATTCATACCCGCTTAACAACGTCCACCAATGAAAGCTCAAATCCGATCCTATTTCCACGACGGTGCAGAAATCTTCAAAGACAATAAAAACCGCTGGAACGCTGAAGAGAATCTTCAAAAAATATTGTACACGATTTGATATAACGGCCAATGATCTCACGTAAATTTATTCCGTGATTTCAGGCAACGTATCAGCAAATCTCAAATCACGTAGTAAAGGAAATAAATTCCGTTTAGAAATAAAACAGGGGTATTAAAGGGAAATTATATAATATATTTTGCCAAGTAGGCAAAATTGGGTGTATCTCAAAAAGGGAAAAAATAATTGGATCTACCTCATTAGAAAATATGAACAAGGGGATTATCCCTAATAAACCCTTTCACTAATTATCCCTTAATTTTAATATCTGATAGCAATCTAAAATATTATGTAAATGTATTTTTGTAGAAAAAGTGGAAAAAGGGAACTAAAAGAGGGAAAATGATTTTCCTCGAAAAAAGTGCGCAAAACCGCAAGAAAAAAATGAGAATCGTTCTCTATTCCGGGGGCCGCTTTCGATCTCGTGTCTCTCTCATTAAATATATCTACTTTCTCTATTCTCTTTCTTCTTCAGTCTTCCCTCCTCCTCCTCCCCCTATTGTTGTTATCGCTTATCTCCTCCCTCCGCAAGTAAAAAAATGATTTTGCACAAAATTATTTTCAACACTTTTTTTCGCGACCAAAACCATATATGAAATTTTCAAATTTCTTCTTTTCATTTACTTTTGCATTTTCACTTTCCACAGTTTCAAAATACATGAAACCAAATAGAATCTTAGTGCCTCATTCCATATGATTTTCCACTATGAAACTCCGATGATGCATCAGTTAATATTTTCTTAATTTTACTGTTATTAGTAGGGGTGAAAGTCTGATGGATCGGATCGAAATTAGTTTTTTTCTAAAATTTTCCAAAAAATTTCGAAAGTACAAAATCAATTCCAATTTCAAAATTTTCGGACTCTAAAAATTCATTCTAATTCCAAAAGGCCCGGAAATTTCGGAATTTCGGAAAAAAATCGGAAATCACATCAGCTTTAAAATTTATAAACTTAGCCGAAATTTTCTAAAATGTTCATAATATTTCAAAAATAAGAACATCCACGTCGATAAAAATAAAACTAATAACTACTAAATTTAGTTAAAAAAAATAAAATAAAAATAAACATGGCATAGTATCCAATAAAACTTCTAACAACAATTCACTATGTCAAAATCCTAAAACAAAACTTACTGGTGTATTTTTCGGAAAAGTAAGTACTATAAAATATATATTATTTATAGGTGTATTTTTCGGAAAAAATTGGATTTTTTCGGAATTAAATGGGATCGGAAATCGGAAATTCCATATTTATCCATATTTATTTTATATAATTCCAACTACAATCCAAAAAAATAGAAAAAATTCGGAAATCGGCATGAAAAAAGTTGTTCCAAAATCGGAACTTTTCGGATCGGAACCTGCAGAAATTGGAAATTCCGTTCCAACTTGCACCCCTAGTTATTAGTATTTAGTCTTAATTAGTTGAACAATAATTAAGGGAAATAAAATTAATGATATTGGTATTTTAGTTACAAACTATTTTTTTCCTAAAAGACATGTATATTTATTGAGGGCAAATAGCATATAGGCATGACAAAGTACTTAAATGCACATATGTTCGGACAAAAAACAATTTCACAAATAAACTCATCCTCATAAGTCATATCTGTTGTCTAAAAATACTCCTCATAATATAATTTTCATCAATTTCATCCATTATGCATTTATGCATTAATTTTATCAATATTGCACATTGACCCCGGTTTGAAAAAATATATCACATTAACCTCCATTTTCACAATTTTTTGAAAAAAATATTTTTTTTAGAAAATAAATTTTTTTCTGAATTTATTTTCCGGCCAGATTTCGGCGTTCACCACGGGACTCCGGTGTTGAATTTTTTTTAGAATATTTTTCCTGACCGGTCAGCCGCCGGTCTCCGACGTAGACTTTTTCTTTTTTTTTTTCTTTAACTTTTTTTATGTAATTTTTTTCCACTTAAATTAATGTGTTAATACCAAAATTATTGTCTGAGACAGTAATATTACTAATGTTAATACCCTAAACAATGATATGACTAATATTACTGTCGGAGACAGTAATCTTACAATCGGAGACAATAATATTGCAGGCCAAGATGATAAAATTAATTAATACATTAATATTACTATGTTAACAATAATATTACTGTCCCAGACAGTAATATTACAGACTCAGACAGTAATATTAATGAAAAATAGTTTTAAAAAAAATAAAAAATAAAGATCAACGGCGGCTGACCTGCCGGAAAAAAATGAGTTGCTTGAGAAAAATCCGTCAATACTTCTTTCAATTAGGGAGAGTCCCAATAAACATACCACTCTTTAAGAAAAATCCATACCCGTTTCTCCTTCTTTTTAATCCCCAAATTGCCCTTCTACTATCTTCTTCCCACTACTCTCACCCCAATTTTCGTTGTTCCTTGTTTTATAATTTTTTTTATATTATTTTTTATTTTTTATTTTTTTTTCATTTTTTAATTTTTTTTTTAATTTTTTTTTTAATTTTTAAACTGTTTTTTAACATTTTTTTCGTTTATTAGCTTTTTTTTCTCTACCAGGTATACTAATGGACTATGAAGTATAGTCGATTAATGAACTAACTACTAAAAATAACAAAACACAACTACGTAAAACAAAAATCAACATTTTTTTTTACATTACAAATAATATACATAAATTGTAATTGATTTAATACAAATCGAAATCAATACACAAAAATCCAAAAATGAATTAAGAAATGAAGTCGAGTAACCTTAATCGACTACCAAAATATATTCGATTAACACTTTAATCGACTACCAAAGCGTAGTCGGCTATATTAATTGACTACCAAAACGTAACGTAATCGATTAAACTCCGCGTACTTCCTCCGCGCGCACCGTCTTCGGCCCAATCTACCGAAAAAAACCCTAAATATGCTCCTCATCGTCACCACGCCGTCGCTACATCACAACATCATCACCCCATATTCTGATGGTTTTCTTTTTTTTTTATTACAAATAAAGTAAATCATAACCTGCACCACCAACCCAAATAGAACCACCACCACCAAAAAAACCAAAACAAAGCCACCCAGACCCAATTTTCTTCACGACCACTGTCATATCCAAATAGAGGCAGGAAAATTAAACTAAAAAAACATAACATGCCCTTCGTTAGTCATTCTACCCTTGGTACAACAACAACGCTTTGATTTATCCTCCACCGTACGCCACTTCACCGTTCTCCATCGCCGCAGTTGCATGATCCTCTTCGCCGCATCGTCACTATAGTCCTCCTACTATAGTGACACATCATCAAATCTAGAGTAACAGAAATTAAGGTACTTCATGAAATCCTTCTTCATCCAATAGTCTGCATAAATGCAAAACAAGATTTTAATGTACAAAATAATAATGTTAAATTTATAGAGTCCCACCTAATATAAAGTAAACAACAATACAATATTGCAAATTAAATGTACTGTTTAAACAAATTACAATTTCAGAATTATAAATTGTAACCAAATCCAAAAATTTCATATATAATTCTAGTTCTTATGCTATAAAAAAAAATTAGATAAACTTACACTCTTGTATAATTATTTGCAAACCGTATCAAAAACATAAATAAACACTAGATTAATTATGTGTGATAAACTCTATCTAGAAATCGTTAGCTGAGTCAATTGACACATATTCACTTGCTCTAATCATTAGTACATATATGTTGAGGATTGGTATACAACTTAACTTATTCCAATTATATAACCCATAGTTCGACCTGGGTAAACATTGGGTGTAAAATTAGTGTAAATATAATAATATATATTTGGATAAGAGTTCAAAGAACTAACCCAAGAGCCACCAGCTATTACACAATTTCACCATCTTTATTTTTTTTCTTTTTTTCTTTTTTTCTTTTTTTCTTTTTTAATAAATATGATGATGAATCCCATGTAGGTGTGTTTGTTCCAGAAATATGGAGTACACAAATAATAATGCATCTCTGAGGCCATATTTACTAGTAAAACACTCACCAAAACCTTTACCCCCCATCCCCAATTTGTCTCAACTTTTTCCAGTTTTGCTAATACGTACCTATTTTACCTATTCAGTTCATCACAAAATCCTCAATATTTTTGCAAGCTGTATTATTTGTCTTTGCTTTTAACCTTCAACCCCTTCTCTCTCTCTCTCTCTCTTCATTTCTCTCTCTCTCTCTCTCTCTCTAGCAGCCTAGTCTGCGGTGGTTCTTCTTATGTAGAATCCCAGATTTACTTTTTTCAATTCTTGTTTTTCTTTTTATAACAACACTGTTTCTTTTAAGGCAGCTTTTTCCATGAAGTGTAGCAGCCTAGATTCTGCGTCCTGAACACCTCAAAACCAGCCCACCTATATATATAAACTTAGTATTTTTTTTAATTTTTTTAAATTAAGTAATTCGGCCGGAAAATTAAAATATGGGAAGAGCCACGAGGTGGTTCAAGGACCTCTTCGGGATAAAGTCTAGAGACAAGGACACAAACGAATATTCCGGCAGGGACGCCGCAGCCGGTTTCTGCCACAACCCGACAACAATACCCCCAAACATCACCCCCGCCGAGGCTGCCTGGCTGAGATCTTTCTACGGCGACAGCGACAGCGACAGGGACCAGAACAAGCACGCCATAGCAGTCGCTGCCGCCACCGCCGCTGCAGCCGACGCCGCCGTGGCCGCAGCCCAGGCGGCGGTCGCGGTGGTCAGGCTAACAAGCCAGGGGCGTGGTACGGCTGTAGTGTTTGGTGGGAGCCGGGAAAAGTGGGCTGCCGTCAAGATTCAGACACTGTTTCGTGGATACCTGGTACATTCAATAATTCACGAATTATTTTTAATTTTTGTTTTTTTTTTTTTGCACTTACGTCAAATGTTAGTTAGATGTCATTTCAAATGTCATTCGTAATTAACCCTTCTGTTATTCGGGCTTAAAAAAAAAGGCGAGAAAAGCACTTCGGGCTTTGAGGGGACTGGTGAAAATACAAGCACTAGTACGAGGATTTTTGGTTCGGAAAGAAGCGGCGGCCACACTTTACAGCATGCAAGCTCTTCTTAGAGCCCAGAAAAGTGTGCGGGCCCACAAAATGCGGACACGGCCCGTCAACATTAACCAAGATAATTTCCCACCATTGCAGTTTCTTCAAGCCCGAACTTCTCTGGTTAGTTTAATTACTTAATTAATTATATTGCAACTAATTTATTAATTAATGTTTATTTTTTATTTTTAATATTAATTAAAATAATTTTGCAGGAGAAAAAGTACGAGGAATTAGAAAGAAGCGAGCACTGCCCAACAACAACAGTAGAAGAGAGCCCGAAAATCGTGGAGGTGGATATGGGCTGCCGGCCCAAATCGAGATCCCGGCGGGCCAACTCCGGCGGGGAAGATTCATTCGGAAAGACAATTTATAATTCTCCTTTGGTGAAATCACGGTTGCCGGTGGCGGAAGCGAGAAACATTCCGGATCTGGAGTGGGGTTTGATGATGGGGGAAGAATGCCATTTCTCCACCGCGCAGAGCACGCCGAGATTCGCCACTTCGACCTGCGTCTGCGGCGGCGGGGGCGGAGGTACTGTGACTCCAGCGAAGAGTGCGTGCACGGAGAGTGAATTTAGGAGGTACGGAGGGGAGAAGCCAAATTACATGGCGAAAACGAAGTCGTTTAAGGCGAAAGTGAGGTCACAAAGCGCACCGAAGCAGAGGGCAGAAGTGGTGGTGGGGCCCAGAAGAAGGCTAACACTGCAGGAGATGATGGAGTCGAGGAATAGCTTGAGTGGGGTTAGAATGCAGAGGTCTTGCTCACAAGCTCAAGATACTGTTCTTTTCAAGAACGCTGTCATGGGTAACCTTGCTAGGTCTTCTGATTTCGTTACACAAAATAACTTCTACCCCAATTGAGAGATTTCTTGTGAGGGAAAAATAGTACATTATTATTCTTTTTCTTTGGGTGCAGATTTTACCTAGTTGATTTTATTATTGAAGCCTTTTTTTTTTTTTTTTGAAATGCTTTATTTTGGTGTCCATATTTTCCATATTTTGCAATTCGGACTAGATTGGCGGGTTGAACTGGTTAAACTACGAACTATTGTCTTGTTTGATTTGACCAATTGAACCGTGATATTACAATTCAAGTGAAAATTGGATTGTTTTGTCTAAAATTGTGTCTTTTTTAAATGAAGAAATAAAATGGCTAAAACAACATCTTTTTATTGCCAAGTGGTAAAAAAAATTTGAGATTGAAAAACATGTATTTTAGATTATAATTTTTTTAATATTCGAAATGATTTGGTGTGATATGTGTTGATATGTTGTTTGTGTATGATCCGACCTGATTGAATTTTATGCAAAATATGTATGCAATGTTTTGGAGGGTTTGGGCTGTAGAGTTTATGCTTGTATGAAGGTTGCAGATTGCTGCAATACAGAGAATGACCGGACTCGTGTGGGGGTACGAGCGGGTTCGATCAACAATTCTTGGCTCGATCGAAGGTTATAACAGCTTCTTCGATCGCCTCAAGAGACCCGGCATCCTCGAGTTGATTTCGTCTAAGACCTGTTCGTCGCTTAACCTGTAAAAAGAGCGGGAGAGGTGCTCCCGGCGTTAGCACTTCGAAGCTTAAGTCAGAACACCTCTGATCAGATTCATAATATGTTCGATAAAAAATAAAGATGGGAGAGTAGTGAATCTGTTATTTCTCCTTACTATTGCCGACTGTTGTGTCCCCTCAAGAAGATGATATAAGCCTCTATTTATAGTAAATATATTTTTGTGGACTCCAACGAGTTCATTCACTTTACTTAATAAAGTGACTTTAAGTCCAAGCCTTAGTAATTAAGTAATGAGGTGGCACTTGTCATTTCCCACTCGTCAGTTATTGCTGGTCGCTCGCCTTGCTCGCCTGCTCGTCGCCTATTGTCTCCTCGTCGCTTATTTGCTCGTCACATATACCATGTGGCTTTATTTCCTCTTTGTACATGAACCCAATTCAATTCGGCCTTGCCTTGTTGGGTCGTGCTAAATCTAACCGAATTAGTGTAAAAGAAAAATAAATTTGATTGACGTTTCAATTGAAAAGGAGTAATGAGTTAATGTATGCGCACGAAAATATGTTTTATTTACTATAGAAATTATGTATAAATAATTATAAAATAAAAAATGAAAAAACCTGCTGGATCCCGGTGGAACCATTTGAACAGTGACCCTGTAACTTATTCGAGTCAATGTGCGGTTCGATTTTCAAAACATTGGATATTTGAACAGTGACCCCTTCTATTTTTTCATTATATTTGCCACTACAAGAAAAAAGGGCATTCCTCGCCGTGGCGGATCTGGCTAGTACTGTTTGTTATACATAAGTTAACTGAAATGGTTAGTGGTTGAGGTGGTAAAAGGCTTCTTCATACATTAATAGGTCCCAAGTTCGATATCTGCGCCTCTCAAATTTTAATTTTTTTTTTCAAAATGGTCCACACCATTGAAATATAATATGTGTGCTTTTTAATATTTCAAACAATACAAGGGTTAGATTGAAAAGTGCACATTGCTTATCAAGTGCACTTTTTATTTACCACTGCTTAACATTTTTCACCTCTTTTCTCTTTTAATATTTCCAAAATTCTCCTAAAATTTGCAAATCGTAAATTTTTGGTTCGCTATTTTTTTAAAGTAATATTTAAATTTTTTATCCACCCGATTTCGAACACCCTTAGCAAAAATCCTGAATTCACCACTGATTCTTGGTATCCCAGTTAGGCAGTTATGGTAATAATATTTTATATGTTGTTAGTTTGTTACCCCAAAGAAAAAAGGTTTGTTACCAATAGTTCATAACAATCAATGGCTGAATCTGAAATGGGGCAAGACAACTATCTCGACAGTTTGCTGAATCTTGAATCGTTGCGAAAGAGCTTGGTCAGACAAGAAGACACCATTATCTTCTGTCTAATTGAGAGATCAATGTACCCAATTAATCTACCTTTGTACGATGATGACGTCACGATCCCCTGTACTTCGTCTCCTTCTTCTTCTCTGTTCCGGTCCACTTCTTTCTTAAGGAATCCAAATCTCTTCAGGCCAACGTATTGTTTATACAACCAGATGTACATGCATACATATGTATCTATATATACATGTCTCTGTTTGTATTGCTTCGTGTTGTCCCATAGGCCATAATCTGATATATAGTTGGTGTTTCTTGGAAAGCTAGATGTTTATGGGCACAAAATTAAAATTTTGATTTGGTACTATTTAGGGTTTTATTACAAAATCAGGGCAAATTACGACCACCCCTCACGGATGATCAAATTACGAGAAAAACCAACATGTTTGGATAACACGTTCACCCTTACGATATTAAATTTACCTACTGGATGAGGGGTTTTTTGGTAAGACAATACGTAGTTGAGAGGGTGATAGTAATTATTCAAACATAAGGGATTTTTTCATAATTTGAACTTACACCAGGGGTGGTTGTAATTTGCCCTAAAAGCAATGAGTGAGAAGAATTAAGTGGCACTTAGCACCAAGCACACTTAGAACTACAAGCACCAAGTATGATATTATTGTGTTGTTTTATCTATCACAACGGGTGAGAAACACACTTAGAACTACAAGCACCAAGTATGGACAAATGTTTTTCTAAAGAACATATGAATCCGCAAACTGCAACCTTTCTAGCTAGTTGAGCGGTACCTCTCTCATTCTTGATCCTATTTTTGATCCAAGTTGTGTGTGTGTATATTGTGCGTGTGCGCGTTGTAACACCATTATAAAACACGCCAAATAAAATAAAATAAAATAAAATTCGATTCGCGAGCATCTATCTGATATATGATCTTATTTCTTTTATTCATTGATATTGTTCTACAATTCTCCATATATGATTCTAAAATATTGAAGCACAACGGAAAAAAATGCGTCCCTTTCAAAAACACCAAAAGTAAAATATGTTTTACCCATGCATATGTAATTAGACTATATGTTGAGCCATTGAGACGCATCGACAAAGTCAGGGTAAATAAATGGTCTAGCCTCCTCATCCGTAAGTTCTTTTGCCCATTCAACTCTTTTTGCAAATTTTGCCCCAGGTCCGGAGCATTTGTATTGCCCATAGAACACAGTCCTGTACATTTAACACAAAATTAAATATTATCGGTGAAATAAAACCCTAACATGAATTTGTTTGATTAATAACGTCAGTTATGATTAATTAGACGTGACATTTAAATAATGTCGACAAGTAAATCAGATTGAGTTTATTGCATTCAATTCCCTTGTGTTATGCATACTAATAATTACAAAATAACTTTTCAAGTGATTGTGTGCGTGAGAGAGAGATAAGGAGAAGAAATTAGATGTTACACCTGATTATTTACATCAGGTGATTGTTAACTGTAAATTTGCACATGCCACCATGTGTGTGTATGCATAGTAGGAAGTTATTTAACTCCATCTACGGTTAAGAATCATCTGATGTAAATAATCACGTGTAGCATGCAACTAATCCTCCGATAAGAAAAGAGAAGACTTACGAATCTCTAGATTTGCGACCCCAGTCATGCCAACCCCTTGGGATGATGATGCTATGCATGTACGTATAGGCAAACACGACCCTAGAATAAGAACCCCATGCCCGACCTAGGTACACTGCCGCTGAACCCGTCACTCTACAATTGACAAAGACAAAACCTGAGTCATCCGACTCGCTATCTCTGTGTTGTGCTGTCAACGCGCCTCCGGGTGGAATTGAGTGCAACTCACAATTCTGGATATATCATCAATAATTGTTGTTTTTATATAAGGGGAGAAATGTATTTGATAAAAAAAGCAAAAAATCTTGGTGGAATAGCTATGTTTGATGCAATAAGAAAATACTATCCATAGTAATTACAACATCAAATAATGTTTCAATATTATTACAATAAAAATATACTAATACTGACATAACACAAAATATTAATTATTAATTAAACAAAATTAAAGTATAAAAAATAGGCGGTTGTCAGCATAGCCATATAACTAATACAACACAATAAAAAAGAATTTAGTGACAAAAATATGTTACACAAGAATTTAGTGACAATAATTGCAATTTTGAAATTGTCAAAAACAATTATGTTACGCTAATGCTATAATTCATTCTAGTATATTTTATGCTATTGTTTTAATACGAAACAACTAGCAAAATGATAAAGGCATATCGATTCAAAAAATTGGGTGGCGGCATTCTAGATAGAACGCTTGTGCATCGACCCAAAGAAAAAGAGAGAGAAAATGAAAACAATACCTCAAAAAACGAACGACCATCGCCAAAGATGAAATCGATAGATCCTTGGATGTAGCAATCTTTGTAATAATGCCTACCCTCGTGATCAAAGAGAGTGTCTTGCGCCCCCAAAAATTTACAACCAACAAATGTTGCAGCGTCTGCCGATATTCGAAGAGCCACTGCTTGCATATCTTTTGCTCCTGGCGGGGGAACCGGCGCCGTATTCTGCATTATTTTAATTAAACCACTGGTTAATTAGGATATGGAGTGGTGTTCTTGTAAAACATATTTATAGTTATATTGCTAAGTACAGTTAATTATTATTAGGACACAAATCCTGTGTTTGACTGAATGGGTTCGAAATTACTAAAATGTTAAATTTTATCTCCAATATATATATGATTTTGATTAAATATTTCAAATTTCAAATCTTCAATAAATGTAGTTTTGACATATTTTAAAGAAGTAAATAAACAATGACATCTCCAATAAATTAATTAGGTTTTACTAGATTTATTAAAAGATCTAAAAAAAAACCCTTAATAGACACAAAATATTTTCTTGTATCAAATTCACAGAAACGGTTAAACAAGATTTATTTTTTATATGCAACTGTCATATAGAATTGAAAGGATGTAAAATACCTTGAATGTGATATTCCTGGCTATGAAAAACGGGCTATTTACGGCGAAAGTGGCCGAATAAAATGTGCCATTTGTATTCTTGGCCATGTCGCCCCACTGAACTACTGTGTTTTCTGCTCCGGCACCTTGTATTGTTATATACGATTTCGTTGGTGGTATTGTTACCTTCTCCCTAAGAGGTCAAGTATCCCACAAATTAAATGAATATAATTAACTTAAATTCTAAATGAATTAATCAAGAAGCGCCACTTACGTATAAATCCCTGCATGAACATTAATCACAACTCTGTCAAGGTTGACCATCGGGATAGAGTCGATTGCATCTTGGATTGTTCTAAAGTTTCCATATTCTGGATTTTGATCGACCGTAATAGTGAGAGAAGGGACTTCCATCGCATTATTCTTCTTCGCAGAGTAATTGTTGCGGGTGGAAGACGGATGATTGCGGCTCCCGACATATTTCACCCACTTTGTGAATTGATCTTCCGAGTAGTTTAGTTTTGTCGCGTTCTTCGTGACTGGCGACTGTTTATTTGAGTTTGATGATTTCATTACCACGACTTTGCTGCTGTTGCAAATGATTATTACATTCATTGTAAATAGAAAAACGAATGTAAGACGATGGAATAAGTGTGTATAAGGATTCATGGTTAAAGATGTATGATTCTGTCATGCGAAATGTTGCATATATATTAGAGGTGGTTCACCATTATTATATAGGGTTACTTGAAAAATTAATGAGAATTTTTTATTTTTTATTTTTTTTAAATTTTGTGTCTAATTTGATATATTTTAGTATTACATTGACTGCGTTTGCAAATTTACTAAATTTTGTGTGATGTCACCGTAATTTCTAATTTTGACCGTTGACTACTAATGTGATGAACAATCTAGCTGGATATTGGTAAGATGTGAAATCTTAATTCCTCTTCAAATTTAATTGGTCTTGATATAGGGTTAAACTTTGTTCATTATATTCTTTGTACCGAACTTTATCGGGTTGTATTTTACTATACACGTGTCTAGACATATATATTTTACAGACATCGACAAGTAAATGTTTATGATTTTGCGTTCATAAAGACGAAAAATTACCCGATTAAGTTCACCCAATTTTTTGTCATCAAATCATTTTACCCTCCAATTAAATTTCATGTTCCGCAACCTAGTGTATTAAGTAACATTTATACATGCTAAAAAAAGTAACATTATTAAAATTATTATGTACTATTCCCGTTTCGCAATTTATTCTGAATATCGTATTTTCATACGAATATCAGTTGCGCTCATTTTAATTGCATTTAGAAAGAATATTTACAAGTTCAACAATTTAAATATTTTGTAATTTTTAAGATTTGAATTGGGTGATGTTTTGTAATTTATGAGATTTGATTTAGATCATGGCCGGTCAAAAATCACATTGAATCCTATTGTATTGATATTACTCTCTACTCTACAGAGAATACGACTACATAATTCCACTATCTGAATTATGTCGATCATAATTAATTTTCATATAAAATGATTTGATTTGGGTCAAAGTCAAAAATTAAATTGAATTTTTCAATCTTATTGTCTAGTACTGTAACCTTATTATTGTCTAGTATGATTGTATTTATTTTCACTATGGACTATTTTTACCTTAATTTTTTCATTTTAAATATTATTTGGTTGATTCATGTTATTTTGACTAAAATCAAGTGACACCTATTAATAAAATAAATTTGGTACTTTTTATTTAATCATAATTTTTCATATGAACTACAAAGGCCCAAAACCTGCCTTTCTCCTACGCAGCTGCTCCACAATCTGTATCACTAATAGAACTCGATTCGAAACCGAGGAAAATGTAGACGTGGAAATAAGAATAATATGCAAATATAATATTTGTTCGTCGTTTTAGAGAGTTTTTTTTGTTTCAAAATAGTTGTTACCGTAGAATTTCTATGAAGCATTTATTGTATTTTTATCAACTTTTCATTTACTACACTTAAGAGAATTAACAGTGAAACAATTAATGAGAGTTTTTCTAGTCAATTTATTAAGATTTTTTCTACAATTAATGTATATTTATTAATATGTGTGTATATTAACCTAACAACAAATAAAATGGAATGGAGGAAGTATCTATTAAAACGTTGGACCTAATTCGGAATTCAGGATTATTAAATACAATTTGGCCGAGCTTCTGACCTTTGTCGACCGACTTCTTCCGTAAACGAACTTTCCTCGCCAAATGCAATCACCATTTTTCTCAATCCATTGGAGCAACATAATGTACAACATAATATTCACGTTAATTTACCAACGAGGCACAATGAAGCTTGTGTAATAACTCTAGCCACTCTCCAAATCTCATGTTGTACGGAACGCCAAGACTCGGTTGTATTTATGCTCTTCGCCTTTTCAATTGCATCATCTATCCCGGGAAAGGACTTTGAACCATAATCATCGTGCTTCGATGGTGCATATATCTGAAAAAAAAAAATTATTTCAAAAAAATGATAGTTTTATAATTATAAATTAAAGCAAAATAAATAAATAAATAAAGAACTCACCAAATGCTTATACCACGACCTTCCGGAAAGTCCCTCTCTGTCTGTAAATGCACGCTCGGCCATCATGAGTCTGTCGTTCAACTCTCTTATTTTATGGCCGTCTTTCCACATTGATTTCCATCCTTTGCTTTCGATTAATGCCTACCAAATTGTAATTTATTTTTGTTAATGGAGACCATATTCCTTCCATAAGTATCATGCAAATTAATTGAGTATAAAGTATAGCATTACCTCTCTCTCATCGTTTATCTTAGTGGCTGCTTTTTCGAATTCACTAATTGACTTGAGCAGTGGAACAAGGGTTACGACCTTGTTCAACGCTCGATCTTTCAACTCTTCTGCACTTTTCTGATACAGTGGATTTTTTTTATATTATGTTCTTGTATACGTGTGTATTGAAATAAATTATTCGGTGGTTAAATGTAATATTTGAGAATATTATAAGGAGTTCAATAATTATATGGTAGTGGAAAATAAATAGTTATTCAATAATTAATTAAATGAATTATTTTGAGAATTTGAATTTAATTGATTATTAACAGCCCAAAGTATATATAGTGAAAGATAATGCAGTGGCACAGCGATACCTGAAGCTCGAGGGCATAAGAGTGATAGTTAAAAGGTAAAAGTTCGTCATCTGCGAGCTTGAGTGCAACTAAACCCCAAAGACTTGCCACTGCTTGCACATTACATTTAATAACCAAATCAATTTTGAAGGTACAACCAAAATTAAAATGAAGTTCATAATTTTAGTGCTCGTTCGTATTAAAGTTGACACGTTTTTTGTTTTTATTTTTTCTAAATATGTATAAAATTCTATCTCTGGCATGTTCTTTTCGCTCATGTTGATTACGCTGGTTTAAAGAAATGCATGTAAATTAAATCTCTTATTATTAAGGAAAGTACGACTAACCTGCTACGTGCCTTTGGAACATTGGGTCGCCGAATTTTTTCATCCATGTAAAGTCATCATACATTGAATGATAGACTGGATAACCTGGATTTGATAATTAGTCATCAAATAATATTTCAAAAAATCGTTCATCTCCTAAAGCAACTAACGGATGAAATCGCACCCAACAGTATAGATAATTACAAATAGCTTTCTCCGATTTTTATTACCTCCTCCAAAGGATAAATCAGCTGAAGGAACACCAATGTGTTGTACAAAGGCTGCATAATCTGACCCTCCACCTCCTAGTCTTCCCATCTTCAACATTAAAATCAGCATATATACTTAAATGAAAAAAACAGGAAATCGGACATTTAGGTACGGCCAGCCCCTGAGGTAAGTTAAAATTACAAAAATGCCCTTATGTTTGGGTAATTACAACCACCCTTATGGTGTCAAATTAAATATAGTCTTCAACATTCAAGATTCTGTGGAATGTTCTCTAGTTTGTACCCGTTTTGTGTAAAAATGTAGTTTCTGATTGATGCACCACAATCTGATATTTACAAGCCAATAGACACATCTTATGATAATTTTGTTTTAAAATGTGGAGCTCGAATGAGATAAAACGGGTACAAACTGGAGAATATTCGACGTAATCAAGAAGATTCCATTAATTTTGACACCGCAAGGTTGGGCGTGTATGTAAGAAGATTCATAGTTGAGGGTGGTTGTAATTACCCAAACACAAGGGATTTTTTCGTAATTTGACCTAACCTCAGGGGATGGCCGTAATTTACAATAACATTTGTACACTAGGAAGCATATTATCTAAAGTCTAAACTCGTGTTTTCTTTCTTTCTTTTTTGCATATCAAACACTTACCTTAGGATTGTTTGTGGAGCTAACCCAGGAATCATACACTGTTTGTGACGAGTTGTCCGGGTCCGTAACCTTAAAAGAAGATACGATTCTTAGACGAAACAATTAACAACAATCAATTATTAATTAGAGGTTTATCCGGCATACTTGATTTAGTGATTCATCACCGATCACTGCAACTTTACTCATTGTATATCAATTAATTAAATCAAAATCATATTATTTCGGCTCGATACCAGCTTAGCAACATGTACGAGTAATCCATCGAGCTGTGGAGTTGCAGATGCTTCAAATCCAGGTCCACCAACTGCAACATCCACATTCAAGTAAGCCACCACCTTTGATCCCAACATATTTCGGTTCTCTTCAACCCATTCTGTCGATCCTATCTGAACAACACTAAATCAATCAATATTTTTCTATTTACTTATTATTCACAATTAAATAACTCGAGTTTGAGATTGAGAGAGAGACCAAGCCATACTCCTCGGCATCCCAATTGCAAAATACAATCGTTCGTCTAGGCTTCCACCCCTTCTTCTGAAGCTTATACATTCTTTCCGCCACCTATATATATTCCATTTCATATCAACCCAAGTTATCATTTATCACAAAATCATATATGCAATTATAATCACCTCAAGAAGGCACGCTGTACCGCTATTCGGATCAACGGCTCCAAACGTCCACGCATCCCGATGATTACCCAAAATCACAAACCTACCAAAATCAGTTGTCCAAACATTAAAATCTCGTCTGAAAAATAACATTGTAATAAATAATAATAAAAAAAATTTAAAAAGTACCGATCAAGTACCGATCAGGTTCTTCGGCTCCTTCGATAATCCCAACGACATTATCGATTTTGCTAATGACTTGTTTCCCCTTATAAGTCAAATTGACAACACCAGGTCCAGGGCCAACTCTATAAACAGGGGAATCTTTCCCACCTTGCCAATCATCACCAATCCCAACTTCACCGCCAACTGTCCGAATAATGACGTCACCATCAGCCCACGAAATCGGCAAAGAAGGTATCAACGGAACATCTCCGCTTTTCTCGACTTCCTCGTCGGAAATCCTCTCGCACCCCTCACTGCTCGGCCACCCCGGCGTGGTGGGGTCGCCTGCACCACCGTACACCGAGCCCACCTGCACCCCGCTCGGCGGCATCCACTTCCCGTCGGGAAACCACTTCTCCTCCGCCGCCCCACCTCCGCCGTAGTCCTTCCTGTCGGTGAAAATCAAAACCCCGATCGCCCCCGCCGCGTACGCGTTCTCGACTATGTCGCCCCTGTATATCTTCCCGTACCTCGCGAGAACAACGCTGCCGGATATATTAACGCCCATTTGTTTCAAGACGGCGTAATCTTCGACCCGGCCGTAGTTCGCGAACACGACGGGGCCCACGGCGGTGCCGGATTTAGCGTAGGCGTGGAAAGTGGGCTCCACCTGTGAGGCCGGTTCAGCATACGGGTCGCCCTCGTAAATCTCCTGCTCGAGGCTGAACCGAACCGGCGGGTCCGGAGAAGGGCGGGTGAGTACGAGGGAGCGGGATTCTGGGTAAGTCAAGGCGGTGTGGTAAGATGCTATGTGGGATTGGATGCTGTAGGAAGAGAGGGTGGAGAGAACGTAGGCGGCGGCTTCGGCGTTGGCTTCTGAGCCGGCTATGTGAGGGCGGCGCGTGAGGGTGTAGAGATGGTTGGAGATTGATTCGTTGTCGGAGAGTGAGTCTGATGTGAAGAGAGAGTGGTAATAGGGTTTGTGAGGGAATGGCGGCAAATAGTAGAGGAAATAAATTGATGTGGCTATGGTGATCAAGCTCGAAATTGCTACCTTGAAAAACATCTCTCTGTTTCTTGAAATCTTAAAGCTAGAAACACTAATTTCTGGTAGTGGTGTTTTTCTTGCAACCTCGTATAGTGTGTGTATCGATAAAGGGAATATTGGTGGATGATGACAAATGATTCGTCGGAGTGGTGGGATATCGTTTTCAGCAGAAATTGTTTTTGTCTTGTTATCTATCATTCATATTATTTTAATCAATCAATCACAGATATAAAAATGGATGTGGATTTCTGGACTTTCAATTACTCGCCGCACCGTAACTTCTCCGATCAGAATTGTATGCCAGGCGGTGGTGAGGCTATAAATTGTACCCCGAATTTGTTTTAGGATTTTGTTTGCGATAAGTAAAACAAAATAAGTGACTAAGGCCACATTTGGTTGTCAAGATAAGTCGATTAACTAAATAATTATACTTAATTTGATGTTTGGTATCCCGATAACCCGCCAAAATTATGTAATTATGGTTTATCTTGCCTTCTAGTGTGTTTTTTTGTTGAACGTCCCAAGCTCCAATAAAATAATTGGGTTTCATTAGACTATTTAATCTTATTTTGGCTAATCTTATCTTACCAACCAAACGGCACCTAAAAATAAACTTTAACTAGATAGCATAAATTAAACTATTAGAAGTTGCAATTCAAAATATAATTATACAATTTTTACAAATGACAAATGCCTCTTTCGAGTTTTCATGTTTTGGAACATTGTTATTGTCAATTCTTGAGGAGACGTCTCTTTGGATAAAGATAGGCAAATCATCACTCATCCATTCATCATTCGTCCTGCTGCGCAATCTACTCATAGCTGAAAATGAAATTGCCCTCTCAATCATAGCAGTAGCAACTTTCAACATTAATGATAAAGTTAAAATCAAGTAAACCAAATAATACAATTTGTTTCTCCTAGTTTCTATCATTTTGCGAGCAAGATCACTAATTACATCCAACCGGTGAAATTCACTGCTCAAGCGCATATCAACATGCATGTAAGTGTCTAATTGATCATTAAGCTTACATTTGTCGAGCTCGGTGAAGTCTTGCACATAAAATTCAACAAGACGAAGTAATTTGTCCTTGTCAAAGTGAGAGAATGAGTTAGATGGATCAACGCAAGCAATGCACACAAGCAATTCCATTGTTAAATAAGAGAATTGAGCATTCGTTTTCCATGTTGCATATCCATAATAGTGTAAAACGTCTCAACTTTAAAATGATGTAGATTTGACATTTCTTCTTCATTCCGTCTTCTGCGTCCTCGGGTAACATATATATTTAGTATCCATTTAAGGAACATCAACTTTGTGTTTGTTACAAAATGTGTTTACACTTTCAAATAAAGAACCCCACTCGCTTTTCTACAGGACTGAATTTTAGTTTTTGACACTTGAACTAATCTCTCTTATTGCATTCACAATATGTTGATCTTTTCTTCGAAGTGCTTGATATAGCTCATTTGTAATCGCCAATACATTTTTCATATAAAACGAGGCCCAATACAAAATCAAATGACAAAAGCCTATCAATAATGTCTCGTGCTTCAGTCCGATGACTTCTACTTGAAGCATCATGACCAATAACTCCAAGCACATCAATTAATGCATCAAAGATATGGTTCAAACTCAACAAAGTGTTGTAACGAGAGATCCAACGTATATCACCTAGTATTTAAAAAATAAAACTAAAAAAAGAAGTAATGAGACATTAATAAAAATGGTAAAAGAATAATATTAAAGCCTAAAATTAATGTTACTTGTTCGCTTAAGATTCGTTTCTTGATTTAGACCTCACCACTTGAAATTTCTGCCTTGTTGAGTGCCTCATTTTCTTTTTCTCTATGGAAATCACGACGTTTACATGAAGAACCAACAATGTTCAACACTATCGTAGTAAAATAAAAAAGTTAAGAAATATGATCGTGCTTCTTAACAACTGCTACTAAAGCTAATTGTAGCTGGTGAGCAAAGCAAAAAAGTTCAGGATGAGTGTTTTCAGGCCATTGAATTGGCCTCTCGTATTAGTAGCTCCATCATAACCTTGACCTCGTTATTTAAAGACACTAATTCGTTATCGAGAAGAAAAACTATCAATAGTGGCTTTAAGAGTCAAAACACTAGTATCATAAACATATTTAACTTCTACTAATCGTTCAATCTATCGTTTTGATATTGCCCACTAATGTTCACTTGTTCTCAAATATTAATTTTATGTATCCTAAACACATATAAACCTTATGACTATGATAAAACTGCAAATGTCATTGTCAGTACAGATTTCAATTGATCTTTAATGTCATTCTCTCAAGGTTTGTTGAGTTTTCTTATAAGGAACAATCACCTTAATTTAATTGTAGCGTTGTTAAACATTGTCTTATTAGAACAACCAAATTGATATATTCCTCCTTAGAGGCAATGTCTCTAACATTAACCATCCATTCAACATCGACTACCTTGAAAGATCTATTTCTCATGATCCGTCGTTCCATCTGCAAATATTTTTAAATTTTGACAAATCATGATGTATCCGATCCTCTATAATAATTGTACTACAATAGTCAATTTACCAACTATCGTTAAACTTCCATAATAAAAAAATGCTAAATTTTAATATTTCCCCTTCAACTACACAAACCTACTACTTCTCTAATTGTGATTGAATTTTTTTTAGGAAATGATTGGTTGTATAATCCTAATCGATCTTATTCCTACTACTATGTACATCCATACACAAAATTCATAAAGGGATCCACTCAGTAGTGAAGACATGACTTAAGCAAGTAGATAAATATAAATGTCATGAAATTTTGTAAGAGACATCTATCTTCACTGAGATTTTGTTGTGTTCATATTATTAATATTTTATCTCTTTCTATAAAATGAAATTAATTTTTTTTATTAATGATTCTTATATATGCAGGGTTGTGAGTTACATGCAATTGCAACAAGAGCAGTGGCAGCTCAAAACAGAAGTTCGAGTTCGGAAAACACAGGTTTCTCCCTTGTCAACTGTAGAGTGACGGGTTCAAACGTAGTGTACCCAGGGAGAGCATGGGGTCCTTTCTCTACAACCATATTTGCCTATACATACATGGAAAACAATATCAACCCGGAGGGCTGGTTTGACTGGGGTGATCCCTCTAAACAACTGTAAGTCATCTCTATATAAGTGGTTTTATATATTTGAAATTCTTATGAGTGATGATGTTATTTTTTCGATACAAATGGTCTTAAATGGTACGAGACTGTAACATTTGGGGAGTATCAGCGCAGTGGACCTGGATTAAATAATGCAGGAAGAGTTAAATGGTCAAAAATTCTTACGGATGAAGAGGTTGGACGGTTTACTTTCCTTGACTATATTGATGCATCTGAATGACTCGACCTATCATAAATAACAACATGTTTTGATTAAATATTTTTTAGTTATGGATATTTTTTTAAAAATGACTAGTTTTTTTTTTTTGTGATTAAACACAGAGATAACTCAATCAAGTAAGGAAACACAATAATGTCAAGCATGGTTTGGGTCCAATTAATGCTGTTAAAGTAGGTGACCAACAAGCCAACTTGTGGTTGTGGTCTTTCGTTTATTATTGTATTAAATAATATTTTTTCTAATTAACGATAAAACACCTTTTGGCATTCTATATCTTTGTCCCTTGCATAAGCATAGATATAGTCCTTATAGTTATTATAATTACTTATATTTGATCTAGTAGGATCCTGAGATATTTAGTTAAGTAATGTGACTGTTAAACCATGTTCCTAGTCAATGGGTTACGCCACCAATAAGGATATCGGCCTTTCCCATTTGAGACTATCATTTTGTGTATGTGTACTGCATCTCATCAGTAAACGGTATTGTGATATCGGCATACATAAGTGGGTGCACATAAGCTGATGAGTTCATTAAACTCTCTCATCCTAGAGATCTCTAAGTGGTTCTCAATAACTGAGTAGAGGTCTCTATGATATAGTTGTACACCATTAGTACTCAAGACCCAGACATCACCGCGACTTCACTAGAGGAACAGGTGTATCTTGACCTGTCCCTGAGTTCCACCGAGGACTACCCCAAGGGCCAGTGTTCGTGCAGTCCGAAATCTAGTGAGAGGTTTGTGCATGGGAGTCGGGGATTCGATCGCTAGAATAGTCTTGGATGACCTTTGAGTTCTTATAGTTTGTAATCATTAAGTCTATGGTCAGAGCTGACTATGTGATGATTAGGGAATGTGATTCTTTAACTCATGCACGAACCGATTGCAACACTTAGAACGATCGCAGAGTTATTGAACTATAAAGAAGGTCTCGATGAACCAATGCCTCTAGTTCAATCGGGACATACGTGTCGAAGGGATCGTACTGTACGTTAACTATATCACACGGTCCTTGCAGGAACTTCATTTGTATCTATGGAATGATGATGCGTAGTTGCTGGACGCCAATCTTGATTCGTTGAGCGATTAAGCTGAAATGAGCTTCATCTTAATTAAAACTCTAGGGACGAGTTTAAACCACAAAGGGTTGTGGGCCCACGGCTAGCTTACACCTGAACCATCAAGGGTCACACTGCTTCAACCTTAAACACAAAATTATCAAACGAAGGTGGCAAAAAGTTGTGGTAACCCGAAACCGTCTTCAATATCTCGATCGTCCGAGAATTCTACGCCAAAACATTAGGGGTCGAACCTTCTAACTAATCTTCAAGTGTGGTACGAAAAATTTACGTCGATTGGAGGTCGGACACCATCAACGAATATTACGGCCTCCGAACACTTAGTAGGGGATGGAGAGAGATGCGAGACGAAGTCAGGAAGACTCAAATCGGTGAGGTGTTGTGTGATGTGCACCCGACGTGGATTGAATATCCCGATAAGAAGGTATGCGAGATCAATTGGAAAAGCATCAATTACAAGGGCAAAGTGTGGTTGATGTTTATTTGTACAAATTTAATCCAGTCTGCCTGTTTTAGTCAAGTCAGACACAAAAGATGCGCACTTGCCAACTACATTATCAAAAGAGAGCAGATCGACGTTGGTACAATCATCCACGATCAAATATGGACTACAATGCACGACAACTCAAAGGGATTTTTCTTGCCTGGCTTAATAACTGTATTGTGCAAACATGAGAAAGTACTGAAGCAACCGACCTGTTGGGAATCAGGCATGTGTACGCAGAGGAATACAAAAATTTTATATGAAAAACATA